TGCCATTTAGTGACCTGGCTTCATGCTCTGATGTCCCTTGTGAGACTCCAGAGTTAGCCCTTACTGTGTCATCGCCATGGAAATGTGATGTAGTTACCTCTTCCCCCCCCCTTCCTTTCCCACCCCCAGAGTCAGTTTTTTAAGCCTTATTCCGTCCAGGGTCACAATATTTATCTGAACAGATTGGCCTAGAGAACCTATCTCTTTTTCTCTGGAGAAAGGTTGTGCGAGTTGATGTCATTTCTTGAGATTTTTACAGGAGAAATCACTTAGATATAGAGAAAGTAGGAAAAGAGATATTAATGTAAGGAGAAACAATCACCAATTTACATTTATTTATATATCAGGGGAATCAGTAAAAAGTAACCAGGTCTTGCTTTCCATTTATGGCCTGTTGGAAGCAGCGGCAACGGCAACCCCCTACATAAAAGCAACCATTTATTTGGCCTCCCTGCAGTAGCAGGCTTTTGTGTGGCCTTCCTGAGAACAGTCTGGCTGTGCTGACCTGAGACGGCTGTTTCTACACAAAAGGTCTGAAAGGCTGTGCTCTCTTCCTTGTTGTGTGCGGCCGGGAGCTAACGACCCCGAGAAGTCCGCAGTCACTGCTGAGACTCTCTCCGTTACTGCTGCCGCTCTGCTTTAAATAGCAGTCCAGGGTAACGCTCCTCTGTGGGACTCAAGTAAATTTAATAATTTCTATTCAGACGCACGTGTGCTTTAATAATTTCTATTCAGACGCACGTGTGCGCACTCCACTGAAGCACCGCTGGAGTGATGGGTTCCAAACGGTCCAGCAACAGCACGGGCACAGCAGGGGCGATGGATGCCTGCCTCCAAGACCCACGCCTCTCTCCCCTTCTCTCTGCAAAGGGCAGGGTCCTGTGTCACCCTCAGCTGAACAGAGGCATGGCTTTAGCATCCTACAAGTGCTATCTGCTTTCGTTAGCATCGGCGATAGCTTCGCGTTCCATAAACAACACACGAATTCCAGTGGGTAGACTGGGTGTGTGTCAGCTCGCATGGTTTTTTGAGACAGAGATTCTCTGTGGCCTAGGCTGGCGCGGAACTCCCTGACTCCTCCACCTCAGTCTCTGCAGTGTTAGGATGTCAGGTGTACATCAACTTGCCCAGCACAAATGCATGTGTCTTTAGGTAGTGTATGTTAAAATCAGGGTAGGAGACATCCTGGCTGCTTTATTTAAAGATGGGAAATAAATTGCTTGAAATGGTAAATTCTTATTTCATAAGCAAAAATGAAGAGGGTTTGAATTGCTGTGCTTTAGCTTCAGCAGGAGAGAAGGTGGTTACATATGAAGTCAACAATGCATGTGTGTTAATTTAGAGGTCAAAGGTTAATGTGTGCTAACTTATAAGTCAAAGTTCTCAGTTATGATCAAGACTCTGCTGCTTGGCCAACTCTCTCACAAGTGACCAGCAAACACATACTGGTACAGAAGAAGCAATCCTTCTCTGTAAAAGGCGGGAATAATAGCCGTAGGCCCCTCTACTGCAAGAGTTCAGTAGAAACAAGCGAAACCTGCATAAGCATCCTTCCTAAACAGCTGTGCTGAGGCCAGCGCTGTGTACGAGAGCCACAGACTTTGGTGTGTTTCCAAGTGTCACATAATTGTCATACTCCCTGGAAGGGAGCTAGGTGTTTCTGCATGCAGGGCAGTGCTAACCACAAACATAAAAAGGAGTGTTACGAATCCCACAGGTTCAGTTATTAGCCAACAGTGAACTGTCAGATATAAGGTTGGAAATCCTTGGAATTATGCCTTGTTTGCTCCCACAACACAAGACAAATTTGGAGTCCACACGCTCCCATGTGATCTCTATGCACAGCTCAGACCATACTTTGATATATACTGCACTAAGCACCTTTGTCACGGGTGACTTTCAGGAAGCTTGCCAAATTCATGAGAGCCCATTCTGCTGGTCCACCCATGCCCACTATACTTGACAGAAACGTCTTTCCATTTGGATCATCATATCCAGCAGACCAGCATAAGGAAAGAGATAGTACATGTTTTCTTTCATTTGTAGCCCTTAGAATTATTTACAGTTCCATAAAACTACACACACACACACACACACACATACACACACACGCACATGCACACACAGGTTCCATAAAACCACACACGCCCACGTGGACGCGCGCACGCGCACACACACACACACACACGCACACACACACGTGCACATGCACACACAGGAACACTCTGCAACAGGAAAGCAATAGGGAAACTAGGGGAGGGAGGAGCATAGGAAGAGACAATAGGGTGGGAACAATAAATGGAGGTAGTGGTCATAGCTTGAATTTGGTCAAAGTAGATGATCTACTTGAAAGCAACTATCTGTATAAAACTCAGCATGACAAGAATGAATAAACACCAATGCATGGGGACAGGAGAGAAGAGTAGTGAACCGTTCATCTCAACACGCCTAGAAACAAGGCTTGTTTTCTTTCTTCATCCAATGAGCATTTACTGACCGTCTTAGGTGGGGTTACTACTGCTGTGTTGAAACACCATAACCAAAGCAACTTGGGGAGGAGAGGCTTTATCCAGCTTACGTGTCCCATCCACAGCACCGTCCATCATTGAAGGAAGTCAGGACAGGAACTCAAACAGGGCAGGAATTGGAGGCAGGAGCTGATGCAGAAGCCATGAGGGGTGCTGCTTACTAGCTTGCTCCTTCTGGCTTTCTCAGCCTGTTTTCTTACAGAACCCAGGACCATGAGCCCATCACGGGCTGGACCATCTCTTATCAATCACTAATTAAGAAAATGCCTTACAGGATCTTACGAAGGCATTTTCTCAATTGACTCTAGCTTGGTCTCAACTCAAGGTCGACTAGCCAGGACACTGACTGTCTTCACAATGGCCCCTTGTGGTGGAGACTGAGACAGTGGGGGAGGGTAATGCTTGGGGGTCTTTCTGCAATACTGGGGTGAGCCGAGTCACAGGAGCACACTGGTGCTGATGAACTGTGAAGAAGGTTAAGGAGGAAAATCCCGAGATGTGAGGCAGGCTCAGAACACTGACCTCTCCCGTCTCCCTGCCGGTGTCCGAGCAAGGCTTTCTCATTGTGGAGCATGAGGATTAGCACCTGGACCGATACTAATTTGGGGGCCATGGGTCTTGCTGAAATCACAGATGACAAACATGGTTTGCCAAAGGGAATGTCAGGAGGCCAGTACGAAGCATTCAAGGATCCCAGGTGCATTGACTGACAAGTCTGGGAGCAACTGAGGCCTCTGGGAAAAGCAGGCTTCAGAGACCAAGAGGACTTTCTGGGACGTGTATTATGAATCCAATGAGAGCAGGAAGCGGATTTGCACGGAGTCAGAAACACCACACCCAGGGTGCAGCACGCTAGTGCAAGTCTGTAAACCTTGTTCACACAGTGAGTTCCAGGCCAGCTAGGGCTCCGTGAGACCTGTCTCAAAAACAAATATCCAAAGAAACAAACACAAAATAGGCTGAGGTATGCGTGAAGTGGCTTTTCTTATTTCTGTGGCCAAACGTCGGACAAACGCCATTTGAGAGGTTCACTTGGCTGGTTGAGGTGCTGTCATGCTGAGGAAAGCAAGGCTCTAGGAGCATAGCGCAGCTGCTCATAGGGCACCCATCATGAGGAAGCAGAGAGAAACAAATTCAGGTGCTCAAATCAACTTCTCCTTATTCGGTCTAGGTGGCCAGCCCATGGATGGGCGCTATGCACATTCAAGATGAGTTTCCTCTGCTCTATTCAATCATTCTGGAGCATCCTCATTGTCATGCCTTGAAATGTGTTTCCATGGAGATTCTAAGTCTGGTGAAGCTGACAGTGAAGACTAACCATCACAGAGAGTGGGTGTGGAAAGCGCAGAGGGACTTGGGAAGAAGAAAGGAACTTAGAAGAAAGGGGAGACCTGGTTGGATCCTAGAGGAGGGAAGACTTTAAGCCTGGCTACATTTTTGTAAGTGAAGTGAAGGAGAAGGAGGTCTGAAGTGATACCAATTACACATGGTCCTTGTTCTCCACCGTAGTTCTCTGGACCATGACATGTTCAGGAGGCATGTTGTAAAGACAAATTGAATTCCAGTAGCTCTCTCTTGTCTGTGCTGGGCTTGAGTGTCCAAGCGTCTGGCTTCTTCCTGGGTTAGCTAAGGTACATCCACTCTGTTCATGGCTAAGACCTACTTCATGTGCTCTCTGCCCAGTTCTACCCTTCCCTCTCTTCAGAGAAGGTCACCCAGAGGAAAAGTTTCTCTCATATTATCTTACTCATCTTAAAATCCAATAAAATGTGGAAATGTGATTACTATGGAAGAAACCATTTTAACCTGCTTATGGAAAAAATCGAATAACTCAGAGAATTTCTTGGTCTGAGTCATGTTTATTAGTACAAAGTTATTCTTGATTCATAACATACGTGGAGCCATAGCACACTTAGTACTAGCAGATAAACATTAATATAATTTTATATTATTGTCTAAGAGGAAGAAAAACAGGTTATAGTAATGCACTAGGAACGTTTCCATAAATAGACGTCTCATCAACCTTTTGTGCAAACTTGAAGACGTACAACAGAAAGATAGCATTGTACAAATACTTCATATCAGAATAGTTTGATACATTTTTAATGTAACTATTGCGTTTTATAGATAAAATACTTCCAAAGGCTCATGCATTGAAGCATAAGCCCTAGGGCTAGTGCCAGTAAGTGGTGATTACATTATGAGACTGTTGGTCTTCTCAATAGATTAACTCATTGATGCATTCACAGGTTAATAGCTATTAGAAGGTGGAGCCCGTTGGAGGAAGTTACTGGGAGTATAACTTTGAAGGATATGTGTAATTCTCACCCTTTCCTAGTAAGAGACTGATGTTTTACCATTGACCTCCACTGATCACATTCTGAGGCTCTAGGAGTTCCGTATCTGTGGTTGAATACAGTACCAAGGATCCATGAATCCCAAAACATGAACTTTGCATACCTGTGCCCTTCAGCAGGTCCAGAGCAGTGCTGGAGTTGACAGATGCAGTACACATACATGAGACATTGCAGGTAAGAAGCCATCTAGACAATGAGCCCTAAAGTAGGGCATTGTGTTTCTAAGTGTATAAGAAACGAATGGAACCATCATGTCATTTGGTGTTGGGTTCAGAGAAGTTTTGTGTCATCCCTTAAGTGTTTCATTTGCCATCAAATGTGTGGAATTATTACTCTAAAGAGCAATGGAGTTAAAATTCAAAGGAATACAAGAATATTGCAGTAATACTTATTATAGCACCACACTGTGCATATATAATAGACATCAAGAGGCAACGGTGGACAAAACACATGACAGTGGGACCAGGACAGGCACTAATGCACTCTTTCAGCAGTGTCTACTGGACCGTTGTGGGCCTATAAAGATATATGGAAGACCGGGCAAAGATGCAACAGAGCACAACTTTCTCTGGGAGCTAAGGAATCCTCCCTTAAGGTTGTAGACCAGCTAGGATCTGAGGATGGAATAAAGGTAGGCTATTGGGGTCTCAAGTGTGGTCTCTGGAGCTGCTGTCCAACATTACCCAGAGCATCGTTGGAAATGGAGGCTGCTGACCCATTGAGTTTGCAAGAGATACCCAGCGCTCTCTGCGGCTGTAGCCAGGGCTGCAGGTACAGGTCTAGTCTAAGAACAGTGTGCAATCTCAGAACCTGAGCAGAGGACCAGAGCTCAAAGTTACCCTCAACTCCATAAGAGATTAGCCAGCACTTCAGCGTGGAAACCTGTCTCAAAACAATATCACTAACAAGACTAGCTGAAATAAAGCTGTAATTATTTGCTAATGAATACCTTCAACTTTCACAATCTTACTATTTTAATGACTTATTATTTTTTTGAGTCAGCATGTTGCTCTGTAGTCTTGGCTAACCTGGAACCCATTACACAGTTCACGTTGTCCTTAAACTAAAAGTGATGTTTCTGCTCCAGTGATTTGTAATTTTTTTTAGTAAATACTAGTCATTGTATTTATATAAAAGTGTTATTAATACTCTTGCTTGTCTCTGTCTAAATAATCTGTGATGTAAGCATGTGAACAGAACAGGCCTCTGCTTAGTGTCTAAGACCCTAAATAATGAGGAGAATAATACATCCCATAGGCTGGTCTGTTGACTGACTCATGTGCCTGTCTCCAATTTCCTTGAATGGTCTCTTTATTACTAAACGCTAAATTACAATGTGTCTGAAGGAGAATTAGAAAGACATTTCTTATGAGATTGAAATCATCATTTAATTTCAGCAGACCCTAGTCTGTATAATTAAAATCTAAGGTTGTTGTGAATAAGAAAGCAAAACAATCAACTGGTGCTCCCTGATTAACTTAAAGAAGGAGTTTCTGCTCTCTGATTAACTTAAAGAAGGGGGTGCTACTCTCTGATAAACTTAAAGAAGAAGGGAGGTTCTGCTCTCTGATAAGCTTAAAGAAGGGGGTACTGCTCTCCAATTAACTCAGAGAATTGGGGTGCAACATTTCACTCACAGAAATGTACACACACACACACACACACACACACACACACACACATACACACACCACTGAAACAAAAACACTGACTCCTGCCACCATAAGATAACCCAGTAACTTAGTGAAAATGTGAAAGTTTTTGTTTGTTCCCTTAAGATTCAGGATTATGCCAACTCCATCTCTTCCTTGGAATTTGGGCTAGTTATCTGTAGTGGAAAGGGTTTTTTTTTTTTCTCTAATTCTGATGTGGGGTTAGTGAAAAACTCTCAACAGAGGAATCTAAGATGACTGAAAGACACTTAAGAAATGTTCAACATCCTTAGCCATCAGAGAAATGCAAATCAAAACAACTCTGAGTTTCCATCTTACACCTGTAAGAATGGCCAAGTTCAAAAACACTGATGACAACTTATGCTGGAGAGGTTATAGGGGAAAGGGAACACTTCTGCATTGCTGGTGGGAGTGCAAACTGGTACAGCCCCTTTGGATATCAGTATGTCAATTTCTCAGAAAATTAGAAAACAACCTTCCTCAAGACCCAGCAATACTACTTTGGGGTATATATCCAAAGGATGCTCAATCGTGCCATAAGGACATATGCTCAACTATGTTCATAACAGCATTGTTTGTCATAGCCAGAACCTGGAAACAACCTAAATGCCCCTCGACCAAAGAATGGATAAGGAAAATATGGTACATTTACACAATGGAGTACTAAACAGCAGGAAAAAATAATGACACCTTGAAATTTGCAGGCAAATGGATGGATCTAGAAAACATCATATTGAGTGGGGTAACCCAGACCCAGAAAGACAATTACCACATGTACTCACTCATAAGTGGTTTTTAAACATAAAGTAAAGAAAACCAGCCTACAAACCACAATCCCAGAGGACTTAGACAACAATGAGGACCCTAAGAGAGACTTACATAGATCTAGTCTACATGGGAAGCAGAAAAATGCAAGATCTCCTGAGTAAATTGGAAGCATGGGGACTATGAGAGAGGGTTGAAGGGGAGGTGAGAGGAAGAGAGAGGACCAGAGAAAAATGTATAGCTCAATAAAATCAATTTTAAAAAATGAAAAAAAAAAGAGTCACATGAGTAAGGTGTTCAGTCACAAAGACAAGCTACAAGTGGCAAAAACATGTTTCTCCATAGAGGCACATGAATAATAATAGTCAGCTGAAATTAATTATCTAATGTATACGCTCTCTATCTGCCACACCTGGGAGTGGCACAAAAACACAACCCCAGAACAATTCGGTTTTTCTGGAGGAACTGAGGTCACAGGACTCATGTCTTGTTTTCTTGGAGTTTTCTCACAAGTACTCAGAATTCCCCTGACGTTACTCCATTCTTGGATTGTGTTTCAGTCATCTGAAAGGAGAGAACTTCAGTTGAGAAAAATGTCTCCATAAGATTGGAGGGGGAGGGCATAGCCCATTGTGGGTGGTGCCATCCCTAGGCTGGTGGTCCTGGGTTTTATAAGAAAACAGGTTGAGCAAACCAGGGGAAGCAAGCAGGTAAGCAGCTTCATCTACAGCCCAACCTCGGCTCCTGCCTTCAGGTTGGAGTTCCTGTACTGAACACTGATATGAAAGTATAAGCCAAACAAACCCTTTCCTCCCATGTTGCTCTGGTCATGGTGTTTCATTGCAGCAATAGTAACCTAAGATGGTCAGTGTAGCTATGTAACAAAATACAAAAGATTGGAGCTAAATAGTCAGCATTCATTAGCTCATGCTGCACAGTCAGGCTCTGCTCCCAGACTGCAGAAGGATGCCTTCTTGTAGGGGTGGAGAGAGAGAGGGAGACAGGGAACTTCCACTCATCCTATAGACTAGACCCTAATTAGTGTTATTTCCTTCATCATAATTCCTTTCTAAAGCCCTCTTTCCCAGTGCAGCTACATCTGGTATTACAGATCTGAAAAGTGGATATAGTTGTGGGGTGCAAGTTGAGACCACAACGTGTATTGTGATCTCAGGTTAGTCAGTGTTTCTGAGTCTATCTTCTTGGAAGGTGCTGTGGGATAGTCCTCTTGTACACTGTCAAGATGTGTCATTCAAATTGATTGACCAGTAGCCAGACAGGAAGTACCAGTAGGGTGACAAAACTAAGGATGATGGGAAAGAGAAGGGTGGAGTTAGAGGAGTCACCAGACAGACACAGAAGGAGATGAATGTACCATGCTAATAAAGGTAATGCCACAAGGGTAGAGCGTAAATAAGGAATACAGATTAGCTTAAAATGTAAGAGTTACCTAGTAACAAGCTTGAGCTATCAGCTGAGTATTTAAAATTCACATTAAGCCTCCTAGTCAATTATTTGGGAAGTGGTTGCTGGGTATTTGGTAACAGGCAGGTGAGAGAGAAACGTCTGATTACAGGAGGGTGATACCATGAGGATAGGCTGAACAAAACCCCCTCACAGTGTGCTTAGAAACATAAGAGGAGAAGCCATGTGTGAGCGGAAGGAGCTGGTGATGCAGGATCCTCGCTTAGGCTCAGTTCATGGTTTCCCAGTGGCAGAGTGGGACAGCAGAGGAGTCAAATCTTCCTGGATGCCCTACCCCATGGTTCCACAGATCTTCTGTGAGCTCAGGTCTCCCCAGGTCCCATGCTCTCCACTGACTGAGGATGAAATCTCTCCACTTTCCTCAAGTCATTGTACTAAAAGTTGGACTTTAGGTCATTTATTTTCTCACAAGATGGACAGTTAGCTTTCTTCTCTAGCTTCTCAAGAACCAACACACTGGACTTGAAATATTAAGTTTCAGGATCTGTTGGTGTAGTTCAGGCAATACTGAAGCCAAGCATTTTTGCAAGATCACTGTTTGGCAATGCCTGTGTGTATGAGAGAGATGTACTTGGGGGTTTTTACCCATGTCAAGGGACAAGTAAGGACTACAAGACCACAGAGAGCAGCAGGGACACTAATTCAGGTGAAGTCATAACTTCTGCTCAATTTCTTATAAACCTGAGAGGAAACAGTCTTTAGCTCTCTGGTGGTGGAATCCATTAAATGGCCATAAAAATAGCTGTGCCCAAGAACCAGGCCCGTCAACCCAAAAACTGATGGAAGACCCACATCTAGCTGTTCACAAGAGCTAAACTAGTAAATATGCCTGAGACCACCAAGTGTGTTGGCTTTGGCACTGAGAATGTCCTTGGTCAGATCAACTGTTTCAAAATAAGAGATTCTCTGTAAAGGGAGCTGGGCCTACATACAGATAACTAATCCTCCTTTTTCCCATGAGGAGTGATTCAACGTGAAGCTCATGGAACAGACTTTTTCCTGCTTAGTGTTTATTCATGTATGCAAAGGTGTATTTGAAAGAGATACAGTATGAAGGAAACATTCTAAATTTTTCTAGTGGGTGAAAAACTGTTAAAATGGTTAATTTCTCATACAAATTAGCAGCTGGACATGAAATAAAGTATACAATACACACACCTAAGATGAGCAATGTTAGCAAGAACCTGTGAACAAAGGATGGAATGGAAGAGACATGATTTAAGCATGATTTGGGAGCTGGCAGACGTCAGCAGGGCAGGGAATGAGCCTGGGTAGTGTTTAATTGATGGACAATTATCTTCTATTTATTTCATGCACAGAGTAAGCTTGGACCTAAAGGGAACCCATACATCCGTGGCTAGCACCTGTGAAAATGACTCTTCTGTGAACTTCACTTTCAGGAAGGAGGCTCTGTGGAGTGGGCATGACCTGGAATGCATTAAAGATTCAGACAAGGTCAGAGGGGACACTTGTTCACAGTGGAGGGCTTGACTCGGGTAGAAAACAGCAGTCTCTGGAGCACGAAGCTGTGTGTACGAGGGAAAGCATTCTTTCCATGGAATTTCTAACTCCTTATTAATACTTGAACGCAACTCCACAGGCAGGGAGGCTAAAGTGTTTGTCTTCTCTTTAATTTAATAATCCTCCGGGGGCTGAACAAGTGCTTGAAACTTTATTATGACAGTCATATATCTGCTCATTTTAAACATAAGTGATTAAAGTTGAGATGCTTCCCCCATGGTATGTAATTAATTTTACGAGTGTGTGTGTGCGTGTGTTTTAGATATCGTCTTGGTTCTTGTTCTGTTGCTATGATAAAATGCTCAGAACAAACAGCTTAAGGCAGAGAGGGTTTATTCTGGCTTACATTTTAGGGGCACAGCCCTTCCCGTCGGGGAGGTGAAGCAGATAAACACACCACATCCATAATCAAGAGTGAAGAACCAATCGTCTTGCTCTGTGTCTTCTCTCTTCATCTTGTCTCAGGCCTCAAGTTCCAGGGGTCATTTTTCATAGACAGAGTTCTAATGTGACCCCAAGTTCTAAGGTGAACACACTGCGTGGTACCTTCCCTGAGTGGGCTCTGAGATAGCGGGCAATGTGATCCCTCAGCATCGTCAGCCCACATGAGACTTTCCTCCCAGGCTAGAGCCAGAATCCTCCTGCTGGGCTTGAAAAACAAGCAACTGCACTGAGACTTGCAGTGGAGGGCCCTGCTCTAGGCACCTTGTAGTTGAAGGAGGCCCCATCCAGGAGCTATTGGAAAGTCAGTCCAATAGGCTTGAGTTGGATGAGAAGCCAGGGATGGAGCTGCAATGGACCACTAGAAAAAAAAAATCTCAGTTTCATTTTTTTCTCCACTGAAGAATCCAGGTTAATTGCTTATCCAGACAGATACCTGCCCCAGCCACGAGGATTCCCGCTATGAGCTGCTGAATCATCCATTCTTCACCAAGGGCACTATTGGAATAAGCAGTAAAGTTAATTTTTGATTTGAAAAAATCTAGAATGACCTGGGAGGCACGCTTCTGGGCATGTTTATTACATTGACTGCTGTGGGAAGCCCCATCTCATTTATGAGTGGGATCATTGCCTGGGCAAGGAGGGGTCCAGGACTGCAGCATTCAGTCGCCTATCCGACTTGTTGGCTACAGATGGGATGGGATGGGACTAGCTCCTGTTGTTGTGAGCCGATCCCCCCACATGGTGTGCCATAACTGTGAGCTGTGAAAAAAAAAAAAAAACCCAAACCCTTTCCCTCCCATAAACTTCTTGCATCTAGGTATTTTTTTTTATCAGAGTAATAGGAAGGAAACTAAGGCAGTGTTCATGTGTCCGAGAATGACAACATCCAGGCTCCTCTACGGCTTGGTTTATGTGTCGATGGGAGACTGAGTTCGGGCTCATGGAATTGAAAACAGCCCTTGGCATTTTCTCCACTGCCCATGGATGAGATAGAATGCAGGTGAAGCTCCTTGAGGAGACTCCATATTTCCAAGGAGTCATGGGCCTGAAGGATTACTTTGTTTAGAGACTCTGAGCTCCATCCCAGAGTTATGTGGTTAGACAAAACAGATATTGTCACAAAGACTCACTGGACAGAGGGGTTCATCAATAGAACACTGGCTGCTTAGCCTAACAAATTCAAACCCTCAGGACATGTAGTTTTGTTAAACAGTTGATCAACTGCTCTTAGAAGTTTATGCCTCCCTCATCAGTCTTCAAATTAAGTTTTAAATTAATTAAAGGACAGTGTTTGGGTCCAAAACCTTGTCAGTTAGTCTATGCTGTTTAATCATAGTTGTCGAATGAACTAGATGTAATTTTCTAAGAGGCATGTCTCTAGAGGCCAGAAGTGCTCTCTCTGCCATTCAAGGCCTGGAAGGCTGTTCTGATCGGCTCAAGGACATTTCTAGGACCAAGTGTGATTCAGTAGGTTAAAATCCCTGGCAGCAGCCTGGCTATATAGAGGTCACAGGGAAAGACAGGGCTGCTCCTTTGCCTGTCTGCCTCTGCACCTGGCTGGACACATGGTCATCTGTGGATTCTCTCTCTCATCTGACTCACAGTACACATTTCCCTGCCTCTTAAAACATGGCCCAAAACACACTGGTAGGACAGATTTTCTAAAGAAAAACAGAAGTTCACCTGTTTTCTTTTCTGTGATTCCATGAGCTCTCGATCGACTCTCAAGCTGCTTGGAAGAATTCTCAGCTCTGTCTATGGTGACTTGTTGTTTGGAGGCACTCGCCCTTCTGCTTTTCAGTGTGAGGGCTAACATCCTCCTGCAGATGGGGTTATCTTTATTGTCACACGTGAGGCTGAAGTAGCCACATGAACCTCTGTTGAGTCATTCAGCCACGCCAGATGCATAAGAGGTCTGCATCTGAGGCTGGGGCAGTTCTGCTTTGGTTCTAGGATATTTCTGGTGTTGTGTGTGATTCAGACGTCTAAAATAACCAGGGTACAGGTAGTTTGAAGAGCAGCACTCATTTTAGTACAGCCCTTTGCCATTCTCTTCTCGAGACTGCTTCATTTCTGCAATGGACGGCTCCTTTCAGTACCAGCTGGAGTCCTCTGGCCTTCATACTGGGTCAATAGACAGATCAAGACTGTAGTTCTGTGACAAGGGAAGAGTTGAGGCATTACTGTAAGACCTTGTGGCTCAAGTGCCTGTTAGAGTCCTATGAAAGGGGATGTTCTAAACTATGATGACAGTAGAATCATTTTGTCAGAATCAGGGGACCGGGTGACTTAAGACTTTTCCCCTTTGAATAATGAGGATCTGAGGAAGTACGGACCTGAGCTGAATATTAAAAACACCCACTGCCAGATAGAAAACTAACGAGGAAAAGAAAGAAATAATTCTCTCCTCGTTCTTCCTGTTCTCTTCCTCCTTCTCCTCCTTCTCTCTAATATTTTGAATCTACCCAAGTGTAGTGGCATTTCCATTGTTTTTAATAATTAAAGCTTGCCTGAAGATCTGAGAGTAAAAGAACCCCACTGGTCAGTCTCACAGACTAGGTAATTACCACTACACACACCTGTAATCCCAGTAGCCACTCTAGTTTGCCATAGAAACCGGGCAGTTCATGACTTTAATTACAGTGGTGCATGCCTTTAATTCCAGCCCTAGAGAGGATTATAAAATGGGAGGAAATAGCTCTCAAATACAGTCTCATTCTGAGATTCGTGGAGGCAGGATCGCCATTTCAGACTGAGGTACAGGTAAGAATCAGTGGCTGGATGCTTTGCTTTTCGGATCTTCAGGTTGAACCCAAATTTCTTTCTCTGAGTTTTTATCGACCATGTTTCACCTAGCTAGTGTTGAGCCCTCAGAACTGTCAGCTTTTATTAGTGAACAAGGTGCCCCTGGGACTGTCTGTCAGCTCTGCCATGTGGAAAAGAGGCAGAAATCTTCTGTTAAGACTCACCAGGGTTTTCTGGTATCCAGGAGGGATCCTGTCTCCGAAGTAGGACAATATCCTATATCACAGAATTCTCCCGAGAAGTTAATTAAGACTGTGAGCAGCAGAACATTACTGGGCTTGGGTTTTCTCTAAACTTTGTAAAGCCCTAAGAGGTCCAACCCAAATGCAGAGGTGAATGGTGTTTTTATATCATTCTACAAGCATGAGGCTTCTCCTAACATGTGTACAGAGAGACTAACAGTAGTGAAGGCTATTAGAAGCCCCCATCCCTCCACATAAAATCACTGTGTGTAGCACTGACCCTACAGAGGCTGTGCCACCCATGGAATTGAACTGAAATCCAAATACTGAGGAATGACTAAACTGGGTTTGTCTTTAGTAGTGTAACCTGGCAGGACTAAAAAAAGGGGGGGGGGACAACTAAAATGAGGGGCATAAACAAAATGTGATTAATCCAGAAGCTAAATGTGAGTTCCTTAGGAATTGTTTATGAGGGGTATTAAAAGTGCATCTGTGGGTACAGAAGCCCGGAGGACACTCAACAGGATCCTTTAGGAGAACATACCTCTGATATGAGAGAAAACACCAACAACTGAAAGCAATCCAAGGCACTAATTCCTCTCTCAATTGCAGTGGGTCCTGTGATCTTCCAGAATCAGTTTCCCTGTGCAGACAGCAGGCATCAGACAGGAATGAGCACAAGTGCAGGTCACTGTGTTCTCAATACCAAGATGCTCAGAGAAGCAGACAGGCAAGGTCTGCTTCAGGTGTCATGGGAGGAGAACATAGGCTTGTGGGACTGAGAGCTGCCCAGACTGAACACTGACATTTACACGTGTGTCAGTGAGTTTACCATGTGCCAGCCGTGACTGCTCCCCACAAGGTTCCACCCGAGCTGGGTGCTCATGGTTAGAAGTGAGTCTGTCACAAGCCTACTGTGGCTGTCCCCTGATGAACCCTGCTTTGAATTTCCAGGGAAGGGGAGCTGAGATAATAGAAATCTCAGAATGCCTGTACCCATCCTCACTTGGGAGTGAGATTCATCCCAGAAAGGGAGGGGGGATAGAAACAAATTCTTCCCTACTAGTTACTGGAGAATAGGAAAAGAAGGCTGCGTGTCCCAGCAGGGAGTGGACGGAGAAGATGAGAGATGGCGGTAAAATCTCTATTGCCTCTGATGCACTGGTCTATGCTGTGGGACAATGGCTTTACCCTGTAAAGATTTGTTTCTTGTACTTGTTTATTAAAATGTGGTTGGGACAATAGCCAGGCAGGAAGTATAGGCGGGGTGACCAGGCAGGAAGTAGAGGCGGGGCAAGAAGAGAATTCTGGGAAGAGGAAAGAGTCTGCAGTTGTCACCCTGACAGAGAGGAAGCAAGATGAGAATGCCTCGCTGAGAACAGGTACCAAGTCACGTGGCTAACAAAGAAAAGAATTATGGGTGAAGATGTAGGATGTAAGAGTTAATAAGAAGCCCCAGCTACTAGGCCAACCAGTTTATAATTAATGTAGAGCTCTGTGTAT